ATTTCTGTTAGATATATACTTTTGGGTGGGATTGTTGAATCAGAGTGTAGATATATGTTCAGCTGTAGTTCATATGGCTGGGCCATTTTCCAAAGTAGTTTTAAGGGATTTTCCATGTTTCTTCTCTACTCTGGTCACTCTGTTCTCACACCAAGAAATTCCTCACATGGCAACAGGAGCCTTGGCTATTCTCTCTAGATAATCTCGGAGATAGCCACCTGGAAGTTGATTCAAAATGTCAATGTCCATTCAGGAATGTAAGCAATCTTGTGTGTTGGTTTTGCCCTGCAGGTGTTAACTGATTAAACTCTCTTTATCTCTTCCTTCCACACTCAGACCTATTTAATTTTTTTTTTATCCTCACCCTAGGACATTTTTCCATTTTTTGTTCAGACAGAGTGGGAGGGAGAGAGAGGAAGAGAGAGAGAGAGAGAGAAACATCGACGTGAAAGGGACACATCGAGTGGCTACCACCCGCACGACCAACCAGGGCCAGGGACAAACTGCAGGTACATGTCCTTAGTGGGAACTGAACTCGGGCCTCTCCAGACGACAGGCCAACGCTCTAACCGCTGAGCCAAACTGGCCAGGGCAAAAGCAAATCTTTTAATTGGCCTACGAGAGAGACCTTTTCTTCCTTGCATACATGATTTTAATAAAATGTTGACATGTGTGCCTGGCCGGTGTGGCTCAGTGGTTGAGCACTGACCCATGCACTAAGAGTACGCCATTTTTTTTTTTTTTTTTTATCCTCACCCGAGGACATTTTTCCATTTTTTATTCAGATAGGGAGGGAGAGAGAGGAAGAGAGAGAGAGAGAGAAACATCGACGTGAAGGGACACATCGAGTGGCTGCCACCCGCACGACCAACCAGGGCCGGGGACAAACTGCAACCGAGGTACGCGCCCTTATCGGGAACCGAACCCGGGTCTCTCTGGACCGCAGGCCGACGCTCCAACCGCTGAGCCAAACTGGCCAGGGCGGAGAGTACGCCATTTTGATTCCCGGTCAGGGCACATGCCCAGGTTGTGGGCCTGATCCCCAGTGGGGGGGCATACAAGAGGCGGCCATTCGATGTTCTCTCTCATCGATGTTTCTATCTCTTTCTACCTCTCCCTTCCTCTCTCTCTAAAAATCAATAAAAAGAAAAAAGTTTTTAAAAAAATGTTGGCATGTGCTCATAGCTAAATTGTCCTAAAAAGGTTTCTTTAACACACCAAGAACTGGTGGACCGGTTATGGTTATAGAAAGGAAAACTACTGTAAATGGGTCATTATGGGTAATTGTAAAAGGTATAATTCTAGGCTTGATTTCTGAAACTCATGTTTTTTGTGTGTGTTTTTTTTTATCCTCACCCAAGGACATTTTTCCATATTTTGTTCAGATAGAGTGGGAGGGTGACAGAGAGAGAAACATCGACATGAAAGGCATACATAGAGTGGTTGCCACCCGCATAACCCAACCAGGGCCGGGGACAAACTGCAACCAAGGTACATGCCCTTACAGGGAACCAAACCTGGGTCCCTCTGGAATGCAGGCCGACGCTCTAACCGCTAATCCAAAATGGCCAAGGCATGAAACTCATGTATTTTATTTTATTTATTTATTTATTTTTTTATCCTCACCTGAGGACATTTTTTCGTTTTTTATTCAGATAGAGTGGGAGGGAGAGAGAGGAAGAGAGAGAGAGAGAGAGAAACATTGATGTGAAAAGGACATATGGAGTGGTTGCCACCAGCACGCCGGGGACAAACTGCAACCAAGGTATGTGCCCTTAGGGGGAACCGAACCCGGGTCTCTTTGGACCGCAGGACGACGCTCTAACCGCTGAGCCAAACCGGCCAGGGCTAGGTCCTCCCTTAATGAGCTTTTTTCCTTTTTTTGGTTAATCCTCACCCGAGGATATTTTTCCATTTATTTTTTTTAGAGAGAGTGGAAGGGAGAGAGTAAGGGGGAGAGAGAGAAACATTGATGTGAGAGAGACACATCAATTGGTTGCCTCCCGCAGGAGGCCAGGTTCAATCCCAACAAGGGCCAGGGATTGAACCTGCAACCCAGGTACATGCCCCTGATCAGGAAATGAACCCAAGACCCTTTGGTGCACAGGCTGATGCCCTAACCACTAAACCACATTGGCAAGGGCGTGAGCTTTATTTTTCTGCTGGTTCTCTCATTAATGGAAATAACATCATTGATGCATCCGAACAATGTTTTTGTGTGAGGGGCACGTGTTTTTTTTTTTTTTTTTTAAATTTATTCAAGGACGTTTAATTCTTTTTTTTTTATTATTTTTTATTTTTTTTTATCCTCACCCGAGGACATTTTTCCATTGTTTGTACAGATAGAGTGGGAGGGAGGGAGAGGAAGGGAGAGAGAGAAACATCGACGTGAAGGGACACATCGAGTGGTTGCCACCCGCACAACCAACCAGGGCCGGGGACAAACTGCAACCGAAGTACGTGCCCTTAGCTGGAACCGAACCCGGGTCTCTCCGGACCACAGGCCGACGCTCTAACCGCTGAGCCAAACCGGCCAGGGCGAGGGGCATGTGTTTTTAACTTTAAAAAAGTCATACCATGAAAATAGTATAGTCCAGGAATGGTAATGCTGACAGACATAGGGCAGATGGGGGAAAAATAACAAACACCAATTCCCCAACAAATGATTCTTTTTTTTTCCATTTTTTAGATTTTTTTTTTCTTTTTCTTTTTAATCCTCAACCGAGGATATTTTTCCATTTATCTTCAGATAGAGTGTGAGAGAGAAAGAGAGAGAGAAACATTGATGTGAGAGTGACACATCGATTGGTTGCCTCCCACATGACCCCCACCGGGACTGGGGACCAAGCACAACCGAGGTATGTGCCCTAGGCCGGAATGGAGCCCACAACTCTTTGGTCCGCGGGCTGATGTTCTAATCCCTGAGCCAAACCGGCCAGGGCAACGCAACAAATGATTATTATTATAATAAAGGTGAATTGGTGACCTTTTCCATTGGAAAGGATCCACTGTAATTAATCTGCTACCAGTGGCTGGGAAGTGGGACACTGAATGTGTGAGACCTTATTCATACTACCTGCCTGAATTCAGTCCCAAGATACTATTTCCAGGTGATGATGAAGTGATGCTGGGCCTGCCCACTTCATTACTTTGTGTGTCCAGTAATACATCATCACCTGGGACGGTGGCCAGGCATTCAGTTTTCATAGAATCCACGATTAATCCAGGAGCTAATTCTCAGAACAAGAGGTCATGACTTCTTATAAAACCCCAGGGTGTAGGCCTGCTACTGTTTACCAGAAGTCCATAGACTACCCATAGGAAGCAATGGAATGCTGGTTTTGATTAAAAATTTGATGCTTATGGCTAATCCTGTAACCTTGAGCCAAATACTTCAATACCAGGTTCAGTCTGCACTCATTTCATGGGAATAATAGTAGCTCCCTTGAATATAGTTGTGAGGGTCAAAGGATTTTAAATTCTTATGCTGTTCGAATGCATCTAGTGCTTCCCGGCCCAGCCTTTGGAGCCTTCCACCTACCACGCATCAGGTTCTTAAACTCCACCAAAGCCCGCCCCTCTTGCACCGCCCAGGGATGACGTCATTGACCGAGGTCCCTAATGACATCATCTCTCCGCCTGCTTTGGCTTCATCCTCCCATTCTCCGGAAACCAACAACTTCAGCACCCGGCCTCCGGCTTTAGGTTATTTTTTTTCTCTCCGTAGCCCGAATTCCTTCCCTCCCATCTTCCCACCTAAAACTTTCTACTCTTCCCGCCTTCCCTCAAGCTGGCAATTTTCGGTTCTTCCTGCTGCTTCTCCGGCAAATTACTCAAAATCGTTTACTCTCTTAATTAATCGCCTCCCTAGCCCGCCCTTCAGCTTCTAAATCTCATTACCCGCGCGCGGCCTCTTTCGGCTGTTTCCGCCTCCTGCCACCCACCCCGATGCCGCCTTCGGCTCTTTCCGGATCGCCGGAGTTCCTCGTTTCCCAGTCCCGACCCACTTCGGCTATTTCCGGCTCCCTGGGGCCTCCCATTTTTTTCCTCTAGCCCCACCCCCATCGCCGACTTCGGCTTTTCCGCCTCTCCCTGTCTCCGGCTCAGCTCATTTCGGTTTTTATCGCCTTCCCTCGGCCTCACTGTCTCCCTTCGGCTCTTTCCGCAGCCCTTCGGGCGAGCGGTCCGTGCCCCTGTCCTCCACGTGATGCGGCCTCCGCCTCCCAGTTCCCCCTCCCACCTCGCCCGTCCTCCCGCCTCAGCCTCCCAGCCTGTCCACAGGCCACGCCGCCATTTTGTGTGAATTTCTGACTGCGGCGGGGGCCGGACAGCCGGGGCACCGAGGGCGGGCAGACAGGCAGTCGGCCCGTCTCCGCGGCCCGTTTCTCTCTCCCTAAAATCCTTTTTTTTCTTAACCCCCTTCGCTCGCTCTCCTCTTTCCCTCTCCCCCCTCGCTTGCTCCATCGCGCGCGCCCCGCGCTAATTACATCCAACCACCCACCAGTGTCCGTGTACCCCGGGTGTCCCACTCCCGGGCCTGCGGGGGTGTGTGGGGGGAGCTCTCGCCCTGATGAGGGCTCCGGGCCCGTGAGCGAGTGACCCCAGGGACGGGCTGCGGAGAAAGCAGGCGGCGAGCGGCCCACCGAGGCCTAGGCCGCGCGGCTTACGCGGAGGTCGGCGCAGAGGTGATTCCGAAACCGAAAAAATATATGCCCATTTCTATCAGGAGCCCTCAGAGCTGAAGTGTGCCCCTCCCGCCACGCCCAAGCAGTCCTTTTTCGTGCATTAACATCCCCTCCCCCCCAAAGGAACTATGGAGGCCGCGCCCGGGACCCCCCCGCCGCCGCCATCAGAATCGCCGCCGCCGCCATCGCCGCCATCAACGCCTTCGCCTCCTCCGTGTTCCCCCGACGCCTGCCCGGCCACCCCGCACCTCCTCCACCGCCTCCCGCTCCCTGACGACAGGTCAGGCCCCCGGCCCGGCCGGGGCAGCGTCCCCGGGGGGAGGAAGAGGAGGAGGAGGAAGGGGGGCGGCCGCCATGTTGGGCCGGGCCGCGGAGGAGGAGGAGGAGGAGGAGGAAGGGCGGGGTCGGTGGGTGTCTCTCGCTCGCTCGCTCTTTCTCGCTTGCTTTCTCTTCTGGCCTCATGCGTTTCCCCCCCCTCGCGGCGTTCGCCCGCTCTCCCTCGCTCTCGCTCTGTCTTTTTTGGGCGCCATGCTGAGGGGAAGGTGAGGAGGCGCCCCCCGGACCCCCCGCGCCCGCTCGCCCGCCCGCCCTGGGGAGGGGGCGCCGGAGGCCCACGGGGGGTCCAGGCTGCCCCTGCGCCCGGAGCTGGCAGCCACGGGCCCGCCTGCCGGTCGCCTGGCTTCAGGGAAGGGGCTGGGGGAGGGGCCCCCGGACCCTTTTTCGGGGGGGATCTCGAGCCACAGCCCGGCTCTTAGGGGTTTGGAGTTGGGGGTCTCCCAGCCCCCGGCAGTATCCTTTCTCCTGGGGGAGGTGTGCCCTGCCCTACTTGGAAAGGTATCCTAGCTTTCTTAGGAGGCAGAAAGTGGGGGTTCGTTCAGTCCTTTTCCATCCAACTACTGGGGGGGGGGTCCTTCCGTGGGAGCTCCCTTGCACTTTTTTTTTTTTTTTTTTTTGGCGGGAGGTGTTTCCTAGCTATTCCTTAGAGGGCAAAAAAGGTGGGGGGATCTCGAGCCCCTTTGACGGAAGCCCCTGCCTCTTTTGGGGGAGAAGAACCTTCCCTATGTTTTTCTTAAAAGGGAGGGGTCCTCTCGCTCACTTTTAGGTAGGTGATGCGGGTTTTTTGGGGTTGGGGGAACGGGAAGAGGGTTGGTTTCTCTGCCTTGGAGGGAAGAGGAAGTTGGTCCCCTCTTTCTCGTGGGGTTCCCTCTTTAGGGCTGAAATGCGGCGCCATCCCTTCCGGAAGAGAAAACGAGGGTTCCTTGTGCTTTGGCATAGGGTGAAAGGGAGCGCCCCCCTCCCGTTTATTAAGTGCGAAATGGGCTCACCCCACGCCCCTCTCGGGAGAGTGATAAAGGGGTCAGCCCCGTGCCTTTCAGGGGAGGTTGGGGCCCCGTTCTCCTTGCTCCAGCACAAGGTTGGGGTGCAGGGTTTGCCCACTCTTCCTGGTGGGTCAGGGGAAGCCTAGCTCGAGAGTGGATTTGGAAGTGGAAGGAGGGTTTCAGCTGGCAGGAAAGCGAGTCTTGGAGTGGGGGTGGGGAGGGGAGGAGAACGCGCTGGGCAGATGGCTGCCCCGGCTGGAGAGGCGCTGAGGACCCTCCCCTAGACTGGGGTCGTAGCTAGGGCTCCCCTGCCAGGCACCTTGGCCCCTTCTCCCCACTCCCACCTCCCCTTTTCCCTTTCTCCTTCACAGACCATACTTTGCCTTTTAAAAGAAATGCCACCCACATTCAGAGACACAAGTGCAGCAGTTTGGTGAGCTTTTACAACAATTTTTTTTTTTTTTGTTTTCTGTTTTGTTCTAATTAAATGTATCGTCCTGGGAATCGCAGCCCATCGCAGCCCGACTCCAGTTCCAGGAAATAAACAGATTAGCAAAGGTCTGTTGGCTAAGCCCATGTTGGGCTTCCGGGCCCCCTCTTGGGGGCAGGTGCATTACTCAAAGGTGCTTACACGCTTTATTCGACCTCTAAGGAGTTCTCTTATGTCAGAAGTGTATGTCTTACAATGGGTTGGGATGGTAAGTAGCCTCTTTTATTGAGTAATTCAATTATCTCCCTCTTTTTGTCCCTTTCCTGCCTGCCTTCCTCCTCGCCTTTAGATCAAAGTGATGCTTGAGAGAGTGAATTTATATGTTCAAATCAGGATTCTAACCCTGTTGAGCCCTTTTAGACTTGCACATCCTTTTTTATATTTAAGTTTTAAAATTTGATGTACACAGTTTTCTCAAAAAAAGTGTTACTGTAACATGACAAAAACTTACGTAAAAGGCCCATATGTTTTCAAGCCCTTGATAACCCTCTTGTCATTTCAATTCATTGCTTTGTCTCCAACCTTCATCTTGGAAGAAAGTGGATACTTCAAGTCCATTTGTAGGAGACAGAGTTACTGAATTTGGTTTATGATTCTTGCATTCAAGTTAATGCTCTCCTGCCCCTTTGCCCTACTTTCCCCCCACCCCCCAAAAAAGATTGTGGTTCAAGTAGATGCAGTTTTCTCATTTTACTCCAATGTCTCTTATGGTGATGGACGTTTATATTAAGCAAGTCATTTGTAAAGTACTGTTTAAGCACCAAATCTGTAAAGTGTGTCAATACCCAATCTCTCCTTGTCTCCACTGTTCTTTGTTCGAAAGCACATGCCTGACCGTGAAAAGTTGATGCAAACGTGTTACACGCCCAGTCATGGTGGAGAGAACACTTCCTTCAGCCCTCAGTCCCCCCTCTCCTACATGTACAAAGAAAAAACAGCAGCAGAAATGACTTGCAGAACCAAACATTGTACTTCTGATGTGTTTTACAAGCATAAGTTCTCCTGTTAAAAGACAAAACACGTTGAAGTTACATTTTCCCTCTTGTCCACTTTTGGTCCCTGACATACTTTATTAGAGAAAGCTTTTTAACACACAGCCCTCTTCCACTCCAAAAGATTTTGTTTCCTTTTTTCATTCTTAGGAGAAGAAAAAGTTCACTGCATTCAGATGAGGAAATATGTAAATTCAGTCTACCACTTGTTCTTCCTCTCAGTGTTCACAACCTAAGTGCTGGGAATTGGTTATCTTAGGTGTGTAAAGTCAGTTGTGGAAGAATGTCCACACAGTACAGTATCCTGCAAAAAAAAAAAAAAAAGTCTGAAGCACAAACTGAACACACCAGTGATCAAGGTCAGCCGAAAGTGAATTGCTTTTAAAGTTTCCCCGCCTTTGTGAAATTCTTCTTCCAGGCAGAAACTGGATGCTACAAATGAACCTTCCAAATTTCACGAGCTACTAAGTTGCAGAGGGATGCTAATGTAACTTTTACTTTGAACTGTTGAAGAAAAAGGATTTCTTTTGTGAGTGAAAATTTGAGCATTCGTTTATTGAATTTAAAAATATTTCCCTAAACATTTTAAAAGTGCTCAGGCATATCAACACAAAGGTTTATTGTTTTTACGTTCTCAAAGGAATCTTATGTGTCAAATCCAAGAAACCCCAGTAATTATGTCAAACTGTATTTTTTGGTAGCCTCTGTTTTTGAAATGTCACAGTACTGCTTTTTCTTCTCCCCAAAACTGATGTACCAGTATTAGTTAAAATTCAAATTAATGGATGTTGCAAAAAAAAAAAAAAGGGTGTCACTCAGAATCCCTGATTTAACAGCAATTCTCATACACTTGTAATCTTTACAATTTTATATTCTCTGGGGAGAGATTTACTCTGAAAGCAAATAAAACTCTCCCAGTAGAAACAAAATCATTGTGACCAGGAAAACATGAATATTCTGGTCCTTAGAGCCCCTGTTTTTCTTATCCCCCTCAAATTTGCTTTTCAAAAGAAAAGGGATTTCCCAAAATGGCTTTCTAATTCACAGTCTGTCCTATCTCCCAGATAGGATTTCAGTCTGCTCTGAAGGTTTAAATTTTTGTTTTTTGAGAAGCCAGATTTTTTTTTTCTTAATGTAGAGCTATTTTCGAAAGCCACAAAGGTGGCTTTTCCTTCGCCAGGAAGGCTGATCCCAAGGGAAAACTGTTTTGCACCTGTGGAAATGAAGGCTTTCCCAGCTGTTGACTTACCTAGCAAGTTAGAGATGAGTGGTTGACTCTGAATTTGTATGTTTCTGTCCAGTTGAATATGGAACAGTTTCATGTTGGTCTGGTTCAGTAGCTTTAATAATGCCTCGACCTCTGCTCCTTTTTCTTTCTTTTTTTTTTAATCCGCACCTGAGGACACCTTCCCATTTTTTGTTCAGATAGAGTGGGAGAGAGGGAGAGGAAGAGACAGAGAGAGAAACATTGATGTGAAAGGAACACATCGAGCGGCCGCCACCCGCTCGACCAACCAGGACTAGGGACAAACTGCAACCGAGGTACACGCCCTCAGCGGGAACCGAACCTGGGTCTCTCTGGACCGCAGGCCGATGCTCTAACCGCTAAGCCAAACCGGCCGGGGCCTCTGCTCCTTTTTCTTAGATCTTTTCCCTTCGCTGGTAGAAGAGAAATGGATGTCTCAGGGTTGCCTTAATCCACTAACATTTTTTGTGGATATCGAGTCCCAGAACCATCTTATATAGACCAGATTCAGTGGCAGTTAATACCTCATTGGTGAAAATTGCTGTTGAAACTATTTCCAGGCTTCTATGGATACCTTATATTCCAGAGAACCTAATTTTGGTCCCTGTGGATGATACCTTCTAGTACAAGAGGGACTGGTTCTGACCCAGGTTAGGAGATTGAGTGGCAGAAAATAATTCAGATCAAGTAGTGAAATGGCTGAGTTTCTAAATGAGCAACATTACTGACACAGTAAGGAGAAAAGGATGGTTTCTGAGATTTCTGGCAGTTGGTATTTAATAAGCTGATTCAAGGACCTGTAGCAACAGTCTGCGCATAGGTGGAAGGGCTCCTGTCAGAATAAATGGTTTGAGGCTGGTTTCATAATTAAAACCTAATGGAAAGAGCAGAAAAGCTGCCTCCTTGTCCAGGCAGCATATGAAGTTTATTTGGATAAATTAAGGTAAGACATTGTTGGGGGCGGGGGGCAGATTTCATGGATTTTGCTTTCTAAATATTGGCCTAGTCTTTGCTACAGACCTGTTCTGCTTTTGGTAGTTCAAAAAGATGCAGTTTTGAAGACTGCGATTGTTTTTTGTTCATTTAGTAATGGTATGAGGTTACTTGGGCAGTGTTTAAATAAATTTCTGACTCAGTTGATGGCAAAATGAATTGTTGCATCCTGCTGCTGGAATAATTTTTTTAGCAGAACAGAGGTTATTTGCTCAGAGCATAGTTTCCTTCACCTGGCCAAATTGCTTTGGATAGAGGATCTTATATTTTTTTGTCATTTCATGTGTGTGTGAGTTGGTGACTCAGCTCCCCATTTGTAACGCAAGCGGTGACATCTTCCAAACATCAAGGAGCAACAGGATATGAAGGAACAGTGTGAGCTTTGGAGGCAGATAAGCTTATGCTCAGGCCTGGCCCTGTCAGCAGTATACAGTGGGCACTGATAACGCCCTCTTCTCAAGGTCATTGCTGTCAAGTGGGCATATGCAGGACACCCACACAATGCCTGGCATTCAGTTAGTCTTGGTTTCTTTATTTTCCTGCTGTCCCTATTAGAGAGAAATTCTAGATAGAATCTATAGTCTGGTGTGTAAACAGATGTAAGAATAACACCTGTAATTTTGAGGGAAGTCAGTTTGTCTTTCACTTTGGTTTCTGGTCAGTTGATTTGATTGCAAGGAGCTGATTGAGGTTGGAACTAAGTGGAAGCCATCTTAAGGCATTTCTTGCTTGCATAATGTCCTTATTACAGATGCTAGGACAGTCATGCTGTCTTAAGCTTATGCTAACTGCCTTCCTGTGTTCATCTTTTATTTTTAGGATCTGAGTCATTACTACAATTTGGTAGGCCTCCTGGGAACTGGGAAAGCAAGGCTCTAGCACCTCATCCACTGCCAGCTAGTCATATCGCCTTAAGCAAGTCCTTTACCCTCTCGAGAGCCTGTCAGAGAAATGAGGCAGAACTATCCCAGTTCCAGGATTCTCCCACCCCTTAGTAATTTGGCTGAGTCAGTTAAGGTTTTTTTCATCTGTTCAGCAGCCAGGCTTGTCCCGTGCTTTTCTTGGAGCAGAAAAGGTTTTGGCATGTACAAGGAGCCCTTCTCTCTCCTGCGGACTTTATTTAGAGTTGGGCAGAGGTTGGTAGAGCCTTTACCAGGCCTCATATTTCCTTTCCATGTCTGACCTACCTTCTGTAGCTTCTGGCCATAGTTAAAGAGTTGCTGGTACTTCTGCAGCTCCCAATACCCAGCTGCAAGGTAGATGCCTTAAAAATGAGTTGTAGGGGTCAGGCCAATGTGGCTCAGTGGATTGAGTGTCATCCCAAGGACTGGGGGGGGGGGGTGTCCTGGTTTGGTTCCTGGTTGGGGCATATGCCCGGGTTGTGGGCTTGGTCCCCAGTGGAGGTATACGGGGGGCAGGCAATCGATGTTTCTCACATGGATGTTTCTGTCTCTCTAAAAAAAATCAGTAGCAAACATAATTTTAAAAAGTGAGTTGTAGGGTTGGACTAAATGGCTAGCTAGGTCACAGGCAGATCCATCAGAGAAACCTTGGCTCAGCAGGAAGCTCAGTACCTGGTTCCATTGTCCCAGTTGCCCATCCTGAGGTTCCAGAAACTTCAAGGCCATAAAGCTGAATACAGCATTGATGCTGCCTATTTCCATTACCCCAGGGCTGGCCCCCTTCTGTCAGAGAGAGGGTGGGAAGTGGTGGAAGGCCAGGAACAAGGCAGTCAGGCAGACTGGAAGTGACTCGTGAGTTTTTCAACTCCTAAGTCAGTTTCTTGGCCTTCCCAAAGGTGTTACAGTGCCCAACTGTCATGTGAAGATCAATATAACCTGCCAGGGGCCTTCTGAGTGCTTCTCCTGCATTGGCTCATGTCAGCTGTATGTAGAGAAACTGACAGGTGAAGTCACTTGTCCAAGGTCACAGAGTTAGTGGGTGTGGAGGCAGAATTAGAACTCTGGCAGCCTGTACTGAGCTCTGTCCCATATGCTGTCCTGGATCTGGTATGGTCTTTTTCAAACTGCAGCATGCAGCCATTAGTGGGATGTGAAGTTCATTTATTGATCTGTCTCCTGCATTTGAAAAACAAAGAAATGGAACAGGATAGAAAAAGCAGAGTACAACAAGGGTTAAGTGTAACTTAGTGAAACTTTTGAGAGAAATGTAAAGAAGGAGATATGGGTCAAGGTCAAAGATTGAGAACCACAGTACATAGAATGAAATGAGGCAAACCATGGCTCTCTGGCCAAATCCAACCCACCCATCCTGTTGTTGTAAGTAAAGTTTTATCGGAACATAGCTACACCTATTCGTTTCTTCTGTGGCTGCTTCTGTGCTAAACAGGATTGATTAGTTGGGACAGAAATGGCCAAACCTAAAGTATATCTACCCTCTGGCCCTTTAAAGAAAGTTTGCTGGCCCTGCACTGGTATGATATGCCTAGTACCTGGGCATCTGCACAGCAGCTGTGGTCGGTATTTTTTTTGTGGTGGTAGAGGTGGTGGAAAAGAATGGGAGGAAATACAGGTATTCTCTTTAAAGTTGGCCCCAGAGAGAATGGGATGTGCTACTGCCCCTCTGGGACCTGCTGCGGCTCCGTCATCCCTGTGTTCCACTCTTTCCAATGGATGTGGACACCCAAGCCTGGGCTTTCGAGCCTTTAAATTGAACAGATTTTCATTCATTACAAGTAACTGGAGACTCTTGAAGCTGAGTGTAGAAGTGGATTGCAGCTAACATCCCCACATGGCCTGACCCAAGGGAGCTGGGCCCAGATGCGAGTGTCACTTGGCTAAATATCTGTTGCAGGTGGCTTGGAATATTGCCCTCCTCATTTTCCTAACAGACACCAGGGCTTAGGTTTCCTTGGGATTCCAGGCCCTGCCATTGCTCAGGACACCAGAACAATCCCAGGAACTACAGCCTCAGCAACAGAGGCAGGCCGGGGGACAACTGGTGGCCACTTCATCTGTTCCACCGATACATTGATTATGGATGGTTTATCATCAGTCACCTTCTAGCCTATCAGGAAACCCCAGTAAACACTTTGTGAATGAGTTTGCAACTAAAGACAGCCCCTCAAAGACCTTGTGAGAGTTTTAA